TTTTTACCTACTTTGTTAACACTGCATTGACTAAATATATAAAAAAAAAATTAATTTAATTAAACATAAATCTTTAAATCATAAAAAAAAAAAAAAAACCCCATACTCATCTTCCTTCAACCCACCATTTTAAAAACTTTAAATTTCTCTGCCTTTTGTTATGATTCTTTTTTTTTTTCATTTTCTGTAAACAAAGTATCTGTTGAATTTTCAAGAAGAAGAAAAAATGGACCATTTGTGAGTTAAACAATTGACCAATATGTGTACATTTTTATTTTCAATAACTCCAATTCAGTAACTATCACCATTCATAAACTTATTAGAAATGCTATAAAATATTTGATATAATTTTAATTTCTCTTTGTTGTCGATTTCAAAATAATTTATCAAGGTCGATTATAGTTACAAAATCGAAATATTCGTCGTAGGAATAGCATAGAACGAAGAAAATGAAAGAGGAAAACATTTGGTGGATGAATTCGGAATGAGATGGGGTTAGGCATTTTCTTTTTTGTTATCCCCGAGGAATGGCGATTGTGGAACAACAGAGAAGAAGATGAAGAAGAAAGGGGCAATAAGTTAGATGGGGTGGGGGTTACGTGGGGTGAGGGGAAAGATTTTTTTTTTCAATTTAATTTTTTATATATTATTAAAGGCAGGAAAATATTCTTTAATTTTCAAAATTAAAATTATGTCGTAGTTCTATTCGTAATTTTGTCAAGATAATGAGTGTGCATTACACCCACAATATTTGTAAAGGTAGTTGTTATTTTATGTTCAATAGATAAATATTTATTAATATTAAAGTGTCTAATAGGTAAGAGTCTCAGTTGAGGTGTCTAAATGAATTATGCGGACAACTTTAAGGGGCTATCGATGACTTAAGCCTATAATAAATGATAATTAATATGTGTTAATATTACTTATCGTAAAATACGAAAAAATGATTAAACAAAATATAACATAACTATAATATATCAAAGATATGCGTAATCTTAGATATGAAGTTATGAATATTAAGTATCAAATCGATAAAAGGTTGGTAAGAAAATGTATCAGAGGAAAATATATTAAAAGGATAAGACATTTTAAACTCGATATTCATGTCAACTCAATATTTTCTTCACACAAATATTAATTAATTAATTATCTGAAAACTTCACCTAACCATTTTTGTTTTTTCTATAATATATAAAAAAATATATATATTAAAAGAATTTCGATGAAAAGAGTTTTAAGTTTAAAATAAAAGTTTCATAGTGTCATTTTAAATATATATAAGAAAGTAATTTTTGTGATTAATATAGTAATATTTCTGTTTACATAAAAAATAATTAAGATTTATTGAAAGTATACATTATACAATTAAAAAATTGAAATATAAATTAACTATGCATGAGTTATACACACACTGAATAGATATGAAACATTCAAAAATTGAATACAACTTAATTATACATGAAGTGTAGGCAACTATTTATCAAATTAATTTTTTAAAAATATTTATTCATCTAATTAAAAAAGAAGAAAAAAGGATGATAAATAGTTAAAAGGAAGATTGATTACCAGAAAAAGGTAATTTCAAAAATAAAAATAATTTTATTGTAAATAATTTTACTTTTTTCTATTCGATCTCGACCTACTTAAAATCTTTTCTAACACAATTTAAACTTTTTAAATTTAAAATTTTTTAGTATTTCAAATCTTTTTGACACATATATATATATGATGTGTCATCCACCATTAGAATTATTGAACGATAATAAAATAAATTCATCTACATCAAAGGATCCACCTTGGTCTCCCATATCTTAGCTACTTTAATATTAGCGGCTTAAATTATACTACAGTAATTTCGATATAATTTCTACGAATAAATTTGTAATGTATATATAATTTCGTAAGAAAATGTTACTCAATTATTTAGTATTTGTTTTTCAATATAGAATTTGATCAATTGATTTTGTGTTATTGTGTAATAATTAATAAGTAAGAAATATGTAGTTTAATCTAGTAATTGTTATAGTGCTACAATATTCTTAGAAGTCGTTAATATTCAAGAAATCATATATATATATATATATACACACACATACATCGTTTTATAATATATTGTTGTATTGTATTAATGAATATAATTTTTGGATAACAGTATCGTTCTTCGTCGTTATATAACGTCACACATTCATAATTTGGATAATAAACTTATGAGAAACTAAGGTATGGATAAAATTAATATGAAAATGTTGAGTAAAAGATAAGTTAAAATAGATTTTATTAAATAATAAATTAAGACAATATTAAAATAATAACGTGATCACACCAAATCAATTGTTATACAAAGTGAATCTTTTTATCGTTACGTAATAATGTTTTTAAACAAAATAATATATAGAGAATATGTGAATACAATAGTACTATTATTGCACTGTACTATCATTCATATACCCCCACTCCCACCCCCGAGCTTCATTTTACAATAATAAGGGCAAATGACAGAAATTACATACTTTTAAGATAAAATTATCTTTCTTATAAATTTATAATTATATAAGTCCCTTAAACTGATACACAATAATATAAACGTTGATATATTAATATGATGCACGAGATACATTAATCGTTAAGTTAGATATATTACATTTTATATATGATATACTAATCTAATGTACGTTTTATACATGATACACTAATCTGATGCTCGGGATACATTAATCTGATGCGCTAATATATTAATATGACACGCGAGATACATTAATCTGATGCGCAAAAGTGAGGGATTTTAAAAATTCGTAAAACTAACAGGGGATAATGATAATAAGAAAAACTAAAGGTGAAACTTTTGTCATTTTTCCTAATAATTATTATGTGTTAGTGTTACTTACCTTAAAATATGAAAAAACTAAAATAATTAGATAAAAAATGATATAATTATAATATATGAGATATACATAATTTTATGAGAGTATCAAATCAATGGATGGTTAGTAAAAATTTTTTTTGAGGAAAATATAATTGAAATGGTAAGACATGTAAAACTCGATATTCATGTCAATTCAAAATTTTCTTTGCACAAATATCAATTAATTAATTATCTAAAAGTTTTACATAACCGTTTTTGTCACTCAAAGAAAAATACAAATGATTTGTAATTTAGAGGTTGAATTATTGTGTGAAATAGTTTGTGTTGTCTATGGTAAATTAGTTGTTGTATTTTTCTTTTTCCGCAATAAACAAAAAAAAAAATTCTCGATGAAAAGAGTTTAAGTTTACAATGAAAATTTCGAAGTTTAATTTTAAATATATATAATAAAGTAATTTGTTTATAATAAATAGTCATATTCTTATTTACTTAAAAAAAGAAAAGTCTACACTGATTATACATTCAAAAACTATAATATAACTTATTTATGTATGAGTTATACACGGAATTATATATGAAACACTCATAAAATGAAATATAACTTAACTATATATGAGGTGTACGTCGATTATTTATCAAATTTTTTTCCAAATATTTATTTACCTAATTAAAAAAGAACAAAAAGAATGAAAAACAATTAAAAAGGAAGATCGATTAACCGAAAAAAGGTAATTTCAAAAACAAAAACAATTTTATTATAAATAATTTCACTTTTTCTTATTCGATTTTGACAGACTCAAAATCTTTTTTAACATAATCTCAATTTTTTTAGTTTTAATGTTTTTCGATATTTTGAATCTTTTAATATAACATCCAACATTAGTATTTGGTTACTCCTAGGTAAAGTCTTAATATTATTTTTGCTCCAATCAGAAACCATCCTTATTAATGTATGAAAAAAGTTTGGATAGGGGTATTTTAAATTTTCATATTCGATAAATGTGAAATTATGATAATGAAATTTTCAAATCAAGATTTTTAGAGAATTTGTGATCATTTCATCTCATAATGCAAAATTAATCAAAAGATAAAATCAATTATTCAAATATTAATTTTAAAAACACCTACTTAAAATCATTAGTTCAAAGCGCAAATTTTATGACAGTTAAATTATGAAAGAAAAAATAATACTCTATTTATTTTAATATTTATTTGTTATGATTTGTACTTGGATTATTATTTATCTTTTAAAAATAAAACTTATATATGTGAAAACTATTTATGACAGGAATAGTAGTTGATTGTGACAACGATAACGACAATTGATAATGGTGGAAAATGACAATAACAATGAATCGAGTAGTTACTTCATTTGTTTTAATTTAAATGAGTTAATTTGACATGACATAAAGTTTAAAAGTAAAAATAATTTTTTTTAAAAAATTTATAATCTAAATTGAACGATAAATATTTATGTAGTTGATAATTATTTTATCAAGATTAAAATAAATATTTTAAATTCAAATTATTATTAAATATAAAAATATATCTTTTATAGAGACCAACTAAAAAATTATTCATATATAATGCATAAAACTAATCAAGGTACATTCAAACTGAATCGAACCATAATTATAAAAAGGAAAAGGCTCATTTATGCCATCAATTACAAGTTTGACTTATTTATGTCATTACCATTAAAGAAAAATGCTCATTCATGCCATTATTTTTTAACAGGGGTTTTGCAATATCATTTTTGACGTGACCAATTATAATTTGACCACGTCATCAATTTTTTAAATAAAAAAATCATAATTACAAAAAAAAATTGAATTGTTTTTTTGATTTTTTAAATCAAATAAATTGATAATTTGGCCACGTCATCAATTTTTTTATAAAAAAATTAAAATTCTAAATAAAAATTGAATTATTTTTATTAAAAAAATTAATGATATAGCCGAATTATAATTAACCATGTATCAAAAATAATTTTATAAAATCACTATTAAAAAATAATGACACGAATGAACGTCGGATAATGACATTAAACCGAACTTTTAACCAATGAGCCTTTTGTGAACATAAAACCAAAGAAAAAGGACACTGTAAACAACAATTGCAGTCCACTTGGTGTACTATTTTTATGAAAATTTTGTTTTTTTTTGGTAAAACCATTTGATTAATTCAAGAAGTTTTGATTATTTATGCCAATTTTTTTCACACAAAAATTTGTAAAATTAGCTAAAGATACAATGGCTTCTTTACCAACTCTCACAAAACCCATCTCAGAAACTTCATTTTTTCTACCAAAATTAATCAATTTGGAATTTTCAAGATCAAAGATCAGACCTTTAACCAGATCCAATGTTTTCAAGAACTCAAATTTTTCCTCTGGTAAATCTTGAATATAATTTATTTTTATTTTGCTAAAGTTTTTTTTTTTTAAATAGTACTAACATGGCTAGCTGTTTTTTGTGGGGGCAGATGGACAATGTTGTCCAACCTTTGATGTTCCACTTCTTTCTTGCTCAGAGGTTTGACTTTTCTTCTCTTTAATCTTAAATGTTTGTATAAAGACTTCATTTTTCCTCTCACATGTTGTGTCAGAGCTTGAAAGGTCTGGTTTTAATTTGAGGTGGCGTTGATTTGCGTGTTTGATCTTGACTTGATGTCGAGTTGATTTGTTTATCTGATTTTAATTTGATATAGAGTTTTAAGAAAAAAATTGGCTTTTGAATGGTGTTTATTGAAGACACGAATTAAAGAATACTTAAAAAGGAAATGTATATATATTCTAAATGGATTAAAATGGGAAGTCGATAATAATAACATACCTAGTGTAATCCCGTAAGAGTGTGGTCTGGAGAGTGTTACCTCTACCTTAGAGGTGGTAGAGTGGTTGTTTCTGCTAGGTACTCCACCTTACTAGTAAGGACTAAAAAGGAAAGTATAACGAGCAAATTGAAACGAAGGGAGTATATATTACCTGAAAACAGTGAGAAAGAATCAATGTAATGGAGAATAGAGTTGTCAGAACTTAAAAAGTGAACAAGGCCATCATTCACTCTATGTGGTTTGTATTCTAGTTATACAAGTGCAAGTACTGCTAATAGGAGAATTGAGCAACTGGTTCTACATTTCACCTTGTCATCTTGTTTTAAGCAGTGTTACCAAAAGCAAAAAGTTCTAAGGTCTGTTGGGGGCTTTAAGCGCAAGCAAAATATGAACTATAATGAAAAAAGACGCAAATGGAGAAAAAGTATAAATATATGTTATCAGTCCAAGATTGATATATTGAGTTGTGGAAACTGTCTCTTGTAGAAATGCAAGGTAAGACTGCATATAGTAGACCCTTGTGGTCCGGCCCTTCCCTGGACCCCTCGCATAGCGGGAGCTTAATGCATCGGGCTGATCATTTACATGGTCTACTTTGTTGTCTGTCTTGATAAGCTTCATTTCTGTTTCGTAGCATCTTCTTTAGAACGGATTATCTGAAACATACACGTCCTGTATGATTACGAATCCTTGTTTTCACTAGAAATGAAGAAAATAAAAAGAAAAGAATAAACTGGTTTCTACATTGTGTATTGCTAAAAGATGATCATAACCTCAAAGTATCAATGAATAATTGATAAATTGCCTGGGATACTTCATAGAGTACATAAACCTTGTAATTGATATCGATAAAAGAGGCTTCTCAAAAGCAAATGGTCTTTGTTTTCCCTGTAAAGGTTATTGAGAGGATGAGAACAAGTCGAGAAGGTTACAAGACCAAGCAGCTTTATTTGGCAATGTACTCGAGCGTTTTTGGTGGAATCACAACCGATACAGCTGCCATGGTGATACCTATGGATGATCACATGGTTCATAGAGGGCACGGTGTCTTTGATACTGCTGCCATTATGGATGGGTTAGCATTTCTTACTATAATTGCGGCTCTTTGTCTTTTCGTTTTCAACGAAAGTTGATTTGTGAGATCGAAGCCTAAAAAGGGTCCTATATAAATTTAGCTGCATTTGATTACATTAAACACATATCCAAGTGGCCATGCTCATGCATCTACTTTGATAAAATTTGTCTTCGTATGAATTCATTGCTAAGTTCGACTTGTCAATTTATCATCCTGAAGTGTTCCATAAAATATGCTGTTTCGAGATTTCAGGTTTGTCAACATGTAAATTGTGATATAAACCCCTTTACATTCGGTGGTGTTTCATACTCGTAAGTTGAGATAATGAGGTCTGATTTTCTTGCAGATAAAACACACTGTAACTTGGCCAAATTATTGTCATTTTTTGTTCAATTAGATTGTCTAGCTACTCTTGAACCCTTATCTTATGTTCTATGTTGGGTAATCGTCGATTTCTAGCAATACATTAGATAAGCAACTCTCGAGTGTGGGATTAGTTGTAATCGACATGACTGTGAACAAGAATGAGAAGCTAAAAGATAGTTGAGATTCTTGGGTTTTGCTTTATTTGTCTTATTTCTTATCTATCGTCAGATACCTTTATGAGTTGGACCAACACCTTGATCGTTTCCTGGGATCCGCAACCATGGCCAAAATACAAATTCCTTTCGATAGGGAAAGCATAAGACAGATTCTCATCCGTACAGTAAGTGTTTCCAAGTGCAGAAAAGGTTCTTTAAGATACTGGTTTTCGGCAGGACCTGGTGATTTTCAACTATCTTCATCAGGCTGTCATCAAGCAACTCTTTATGCCATTGTAATTAAAGATCAATCACCTCCTGATCACAACGGCATTAAAGTTGTAACGTCATCCATTCCGATAAAACCCCTACAGTTTGCTGTCATGAAAAGTGTTAATTATCTTCCGAATGCACTTTCCAAGATGGAAGCAGAAGAAAATGATGCATATGCAGCAATTTGGTTAGATGGCGATGGCTTTGTTGCAGAAGGACCGAACATGAATGTGGCTTTTGTTACAAAGGAAAAGGACCTTCTGATGCCTTGTTTTGATAAAATTCTCAGTGGCTGTACAGCTAAAAGAGTCCTGGTTCTTGCAGAAAATCTAGTAAAGGAAGGTAAACTTCGAGGCATTAGAGTAGAAAATGTGTCTGTAGAGGACGCGAAAAGAGCAGATGAGATGATGCTAATTGGTAGTGGGATTCTTGTACGCTCGGTGGTGCAGTGGGATGAAGAAATCATCGGTAATGGTAAGCATTTTCTCTGCTTCCATCGAAACAATATTTAACTGTTCACTTCGCCCCTTTGTTCCATTTGCTTTGGTCAAAGTATGATATTTTAAAATTCGAGCACGAAATGATCTTTCTTGATTAATAGATCCAACGTAAGTACTGCTCGACAAACTAAGCCTAGATAGACAGTGGTGAAGCCAGAAATTTCATGTAACTGCATGTGGCTACGCGACAGATATTAGCTATCAACATATGTTCACTCTTTCTAAACACACAAGTACTATCCAAAACCATGTTCTGTTGAAGCTTAGTTTTCATATAATTATGCAAGGGTGACATAAATTTACGATCGTTCGAGACGTTGCAGATGAAATTTTGGCTTCTTTACTTGATTGTATTCTGATCTCCTTTCTGTATCTTCCTCCTCATTAATGTAGGTAGAGAAGGTCCTGTGACACAAGCTCTGCTAAATCTTATCTTGGAAGATATGAAGTCAGGGCCTCCCACGGTGCGAGTTCCCGTTCCCTATTGATGAGCGGAGGCTAAACTCAGTAGCTTTTGCTCGAACAGTATATCGAGAAACACATATTTCCTTTGAAATGTTGTTTGGAGGTTCAAGATTGATCAATAGGAATTAGGAAAACAATTTTTCTAATGGCTCTTCATATGAATGAAAGTTGTATTATGGCCAAGGGTAAAAAACTGTTTGATATTATAGTTAAAATATGATTTAGATATCAATAAAATGTATAACTTTTAACAAATCATAAATATGCATATCAAAACTTACAAATTTTTTTTTTTTAGTAAAAATATCAAAAGATTTAATTGTGTATATTTAACCTGTTTGTATAATATAATTTTTTGATAAAGTAGTGTCGCTTGATCCCCTCGAGCAAGTGTAGCTCCACCCCTGGTGGCAGGATGGTTGAGAGTTTTTTTGTTTTTAACTAAAATCGAGTGTCGCTTGACCCCCTCAAACAAGACGGTAGTGATTTCTCCGCTTTTAACTAGAACTGGTGATCAATATGGGTTGTGGTGCACTGATGAGATTGCTTCACCATTAATCAGAGGTCTCAGGTTTAAACTTGAAATATGGAGAAAATTCTGTTCGGAGCGCCACTCTTGAATGGGTCCTACAGAACGCGTTTAGGATTTAGTCGAAACTCCGATGAGCTTCAGACATTGAATCTTAACTAAAACTTTCAAATTTGAACTTTAGAAATGAATGACGAACCTCGTGAGTGTGAATAAATGTAAATCTAACTATTTGGGATTTAAATTTACTAAAAGTCTTAGATTATAATTTTTAAGTATATGAATTTGGTCCATAATGGACTTAAAATTTTAAATAGGAGCCGATAAAAAAGAAAACTATTTTAAAAAAATAAAAATACACGTGGTGTCTCCCCATTGGTTAAATATTTTTATTTTATTCTTGCTTATTGGAAAAAAAAAATTAACTAATTATGATCATATAACAGAACATGAGAAAAAATGCAATCTATGGAGAGAGAAAGAGAGAATCGTATGATTTGAGACGATTATTTGATTCGTTTTTCGGAATCTCGCCGGTGATTTATTTGACGCCGGAGATCTCGGGTTCACCTGCGATCAATTTCTTGTTTGATCGGTGACGGAATTTTTTTATTTTTGGTGGTAATAGGATGGTGAATTTTTTGGTGGAACGAGCGACGAGCGATATGCTCATGGGACCTGATTGGGCAATGAATGTCGAGATCTGCGATATATGCAGTCGTGATCCAGCGTATGCTTCTTCATTTTCCTTTTTATTCTGTCGCCCTTTGCATATTTTTTTTTGAATATTTGTGATAAAGCTGTAAATTTCAGTAGCAGTAATATCTGGTTAGGTTCTGGAGTCTGTATGTCAATTTTAGTTTAGAAAAGTATTTTTTCTCCTCTGTTTTAGCGTAGAATTTTGCTTTTATCTATTTTTTCCGATTATGAGCTGATTTTTGTGAATATTTGTAAGTGAAGAAGTTTTTTGATTTATGTAGTAATTAGTAGAGATTTAGATGCTAGTATAGCAGTAGGTGTGAGATTTAAAGACCTTTTAGTTTTATAAGAAATATCTTTTCTCTATTTTTATATCTAAGATTTTGTTATTGCCTATTGAATTAGAAGTATGATTAGGCTTTCTGGTTAGTTTGTTTGTAATTGAAAAGTTTGAACTTTTGATAGTAGTAGGTTTTAGTTAGAATTTAGATAGGGGTATGCTAGTGTAGAATTAAGTTCATTTTTAGTGTTAGAAAAAGTAACTTCTTTTCTTTTCTCTTTCTCTATTTTTGAATGTAAATTTGTTATTTATTATTTCGTTTTTGAGTTGTTTTGAACGTTTACAAATGTGATTTGTGATTTGTTAACTTACAGCAGAGGCTTGGCTTGTATGTCAATGTAGTTTTAAATGTGAGATTTAGAGAACTTCTGGTTTTAGGGAACCCTGAATTAGTCTAACACTTGATCTCAAGGTCGAGAGGAGTCGGGAAGAACAAGATATAAAAATATTCACCTTTTAAAAAAAGAGTCTCTAAAAGAACAAGAGATTTCTCTGTTATCTGAAAAAGAAAAACATAGCCTACTTTCGATGAAGATGAAACGAAAACCATGAGAGACAAAGATTTGATTCTTGGCAGTAGTAGGTGATTTCTTCTCATTTTCCAAAGTCTAAGTGAACCGAGCCTTTTGGAACAAATAGCTAAACAGGAAAGAAAGACATAAATTGGAACAAAGGGAGTATAACACTGTCATGAAGAGAGCCTTTCTTTTGGGATTAAAAAGCTGTTAAGGAATAGCTTAACTCCTCTCTTTTTTTGGTGGTGAAAATATACAAGTAAATAATGGAATTTATAACTGTATGAAACCTACATTCATCATTTATGGGCTGTAATCATCTTGAACATGCAAACTATACATTTCCTTTGGAAGAAGCCATATCTGAGACCACCTCATGTTGGTTTTTTCATTGAGATGTTTGACCAAAAGGAACAACGGTGCTGGTGCAGGAAAACAGGGTATTCAATCTACTGTTGGCAGATTTTTATTAGTGAAGTGGATCACTGTTCATGTGCTTACCGAACAATATATTGCCATCAAGTTCTCCAGCAAGTCGATCATTTGTGGATGATCTTAACTAATTATATGAGTTTTTTTATCTAACTAAAATTAAGAACTGAGGTTCTTCTAGCCTCAATGTAATCTCCCTTTTTCTTTTGTTTTTCTATTTTAAATGTTTGGCATAATCATTGAGGTGTTTACTTTTGTTTAAAATGAAGATTGGTGAAGGCAGTTCTTATTATTTCCTTAATTTTTGTTCCCCAGGCAAGCGAAAGATGTTGTGAAAGGAATAAAAAAGCGTCTTGGCAGTAGGAGATCAAAAGTCCAGCTACTCGCCTTGACAGTAAGCTTTTGAAAATATTAAATTCCATAATACCTTGCGCAATACCTTAACTATTTCTGTCGGTGCTTGTACCTTATCAAAAAATTAAATCCTACAATTCAATACTAGCTTGAACTGAATGGATTATCAATTCCTTACCTCCATCATTTTTGTTGGTTTTCCTTTTTTTTTTTAATGGGAGTCTTGAGCAAAGATTTCGTCTGCAGTCATTTGTACAATGTGCTACCTTTTCTCCTTCTTTTTATGTTCACAATTTCTCCTTTACTATTAGCAACAACAGAAATACCATGATCTTTATTTAATGTATGTTTTGTTGTAAAGAGTCTTCTGTTTTTAGGTAGTTGGGGTTCGTTTGGATGATCATGGTCGAGCCACAATATCAGATCATAATGTTCACCTTGGTGTATCTGCAATGAAAAATGTTTGATTAATCTTAAATTAATAAATAAATTGGGTGTTAAATATGTATTGATTTGCTTATATTACTTCAATTTTTGTAAGGGTTTATGCTGTTCCTTGAGAATTATGGTATTCTCTTTGCTTGGCTTGCCAAATAGAAAATTAACTTGCCATGCGCTTAACCTGAATTTTACCATTCTTCAGCTTTTGGAAGCAATTGTGAAGAATTGTGGAGACATTGTGCATATGCACGTCGCTGAGAAAGGTCTTCTTCATCAGATGGTGAAAATGGTAAAGAAGAAGGTAATCGCAGACTCTGAACCTCCCTTGTGTTATTTTTGAATCCTTCCCCTTCATAAAGTACATGCATCAATCTTGTACTGTTTTGCAAATGCAGCCCGACTTTCATGTCAAGGAAAAGATATTAGTTTTAATTGACACTTGGCAAGAAGCTTTTGGAGGACCAAGGGCGAGATACCCTCAATATTATGGAGCCTACCAAGAGTTGTTGGTGAGAGTGAAATGCTGTTTTTTTACTCTTCTATTATGTGTTTATTTGAAGTTATTTTTCATCGCTATTAGGGGTTGGTATTTTTTGGGTTTATGTGACAAGTCACCTGGCTCCAGCCATTGAAGTTCAGTTTCTTAACTTATCACCTGAGCAGAAACTATATAAGCAATAGGGTTTACTTGGAGAATATAAGTTCTCATTTCCTTAAGTAGGTATTCTGGAGCCTTTTATATGAATTATTTTGTAAAGTGAAGCGAGAACCTATTCAAACAATACTACTGGTTTATACCAGTTGATGTCATGTGTTGGTTGCTAAAATCCCAAAGCTAAATGCTTATTTGTACTGACTGAATATATACCAGTACATGGAGTTTGTCCATGCCCAGTTGTTTTGATTATAATTTCTATATACTTGTTTGACACTTCAAATTTTTTTTGAAAGAGGGCTTTGATACCTCAATTTATAGAAAATGTTTGGCAAATGTATTGCTCGACTTTCAGTGCATTGGAGCAGTGAAAGTTATTTGGAGCGTAAGTTGAGCAGTAACAAAATAAGCAATAGGGACTACTTGGAGGGTAACCATTCTCTTTTCCTGAAGTAAGTTATTCTGGGCCTTGTATGAATCACCATGAAGAGAACCAAGTACCTGTCAACCCATAGTAATTGTATATACCTTTTGATAATTGGTTGCTAAATTTCCAAAGCCAAATGCTTGGTTTTACTTGCTGAACTTGGATTTTGTCCATGCCCATTGCGATGATATGCACTTTCTATATGCTTGTTTGACACCTCACTTCATAGATTTTGAAATGTATTGCTTGACTTTCAGCGCCTTGGAGCAGTATTTCCTCAGAGAACGGTACTTGCGCTCCCTCCTCCCCAAACACATCCACTGTCATCTGATCCACGTAATCTTCAGAAGTCTGAATCTGGACAGGATGCAGCAGAGTCTTCAGCAGATGCTGAGTATCCCACCTTGAGGTGACTGTTCGACTTTTAATATTATCAGGTCGTTTATGTTTTAAGGAATTTCCTACATTCTTTCTATTTCTTTAATCCGGTTATCCAGCTGTCAGCATTCAACATGAGCAGCTAGTTTAGTTGGTGAGAAAAATATGAGAATGGAGGATCAGTAAAGGAAAATGCTCTTGTTGTCCTTGCATTCACTTGTTTGATTACTGACTAGCTACTGTAAAGTTTAAACTTACCTTGACAGTTTCTCATGAATACCTTGGCAGTTTATAATGCATATCTTGACAGTTCCTCATGGACACAATTTCAGAATTTATTACTGATTAGCGTCTGGAAAGTTTAAACTTACGGGAGGTTTAGGACTACATTAATTTCTTCAATTATTGCTTATACTACTTTTTCCCTCAAAAAGTGATTAAAATCAAATAGCCTCTGAGTTTGTTTGCTAGTAAATCATCAGTTTTCC